GGCAACATCCTTTTCGAGTTCAGTCAACGATAATGTATGAAATTGTAACATCTGTGCGTATGGGTTCATCAAAAGAGCTGTTAAGCTCGAAGATTCACATCTTTTAAAAACATTTCACAGTTCGATTTACACATCCAATCTGAAGTTTAGCTATTTTACTGTGGGATGTTGTCTGTGTCCACAATACGGCACATGAGAACATTTTCGTACTGTGATTAAATGAGATAGTAACAATATATAGTACAGTGAACGTTCATTTTTTCCCACAGAAGTGATTCTGATTCCGATCCGTCAAAGGTAAGCATCCTTACGTCCGATCAATGTCAGTGAATGTATATGAATCACATCTGTGTTTTCCTATTTGTACATCCCTGTGACAGCATATATAGAAACGTGAATTAATGTACAGAAAATGATACAGATACCAATACGATGTTAAACCAAAAGAATGACTTCATTCAATTCATTTTTTATCAGATTTTCAACGACCCAATTCATGGGACTATACGAGTGTCGGGTCTGTGTCTGAAGATAATAGACACCCCACAGTTTCAGAGGTTGAGGTATTTGACACAACTTGGAGGAGTTTACTTTGTATATCCGGGCGCAGCACACAACAGATTTGAGCACAGCATCGGGTAAATAATACTGAAATACTGGCAAATGTTACATCTCTAAGACTCTACATTCAACACACGTTCATCCCCTATGAGATGATGTTCGCTTACAGCGTGATATGCACAGATTTATGTTTCTTTCTTTTGTCAAAATGTATTGATGTAAACTTTGTATCTTTAAACAGAACTTACTACCTTGCTGGTAAATTTGCTCGGATTCTGAGAGAGAAACATCGTGATCAGTTTGAAGAAGGTGATATCGAGTGCATTGAAATAGCAGGACTTTGCCACGATCTCGGTAATTTGTTTACCTGTATATTTTCTGATTCACTATGAATGTAGATTTCGATCATTTCTGGTCATATCGTGTTTGAATATTAGCACACATTCCCTGTTCGCTGCTTCAATGTGCTATTATTTACATTTCTTCTGACTGAAATATATACTATTTACGAACAGGATTTTGATTCTTTCAGGACACGGCCCGTTCTCACACGTCTTTGACAAGCTATTCATACCCCGGGTACAACCAGGCCGCAATTGGAAGGTATATACACCCATTATGTTAGGATATCCCTGATGAAACGTCCTAACCCAGTATAACCCACTTTGGGTGGGTGAGTGTGGTACCTAGTTGTTAAAGAGTATGCTCGTCATGCTTAAGACCCAGGTTCGATTCCCCGCATGGGTACAATATGTGAAGCATTGTAATGTTGCTGGTTTATTGCTAAAAGTGGCGTGGAACTATAGTCACTCATTCATTTTGCTGATTAAACAATGTGCAGCTAGTGATTCTCGAAGTTCATTGATCAGATAAAGAAAGATCCATTTTCATTGAATGGCGGGGCACCTTTTCTCCTACTTGGTTCAGTCATCTATGAACAGCATTAATTCACATATTTTACATGCTGCAATCTCACTTGTTCGCAATTATAAAGACATTCATAGTGATTCTTTATCTCTGAACTCTAGGGCAGAGGCCCGTAGTGGAAGTAAAACGGTTACAATGGGTAAGTGGCACAAGCTCGTTTGCGTTTTAACAGCGCAGGACCAAAACGGACTAAGAACACAACCTTGTCGTACCCCTAGAGGACATTCATAAACTTCTGTTATTACGTTATGTGATGTACGTACACACACAAGCGTTCACGTTTTCGTACACAGACCTCAACACGTTATCCATTTTTTAACCAAGTCCGTTCTTTTTTAATGAATACCAAAGCTTTTGTCTGTGACAGAATCGAACCCTTTCGTAAATCAATAGAACAAGCATAGAGTTTTCCACCCGTTTTTGAGAAGCATATACTGATAAGATATTATCAACGGTGGAGTATCCTGTTCTGAAACCAGCTTGTTCTTCTTTAATGTCATCACAGCACTCAGCCCAGAATACAGAATAGTCAATTGTTTAAGGTGTTAGTATGAAGTTTGCCCAAAACACTGAGAAATGTTATGGCACGGTAATTTTCAGGTCATGTTTTATCTCAAATTTTATAAAATGGAATAACGATAGCTTTGGACCAGGACAAAGTAACTCTCCTTTATCATAAAGAAAACTTAATAAATTCCAGAAAAGGTAAGAGATTTAAACATGACATGCCAGTAACATGCCGCTGAGTTTGACCAGATTCAAAACGGCCCATAGCCTAACCCCTGTCAGCAAGTGTCATTTTAAGCTGAGATTTCAAACAGGTACCTGAAAAGTGAACGGCAGTGAAAAAGCATCAATGCATATGTATTGTCCTCCACTTTCTATGGATAGAGCGACTTGCACGTGTAAATCTTTGACACTAAGTGGCAGGTGGATCTCCACATTGATAATCTGAATTAAAATGTACCATTTGTAACAGAATGTTTCGGACGTTAAAGAGGGTAGTAATGACATTTAACGGCCTGATGTCTTTTTACATTTTCTTCCTTAAGTGGCATTTAGAAGCAGGTATGATGAAGCGGAACACTTTTTATGGATAGACAACTTCTTTGTTGCAGTAGTAGTTGCGACGTTTCGGTGTAGATCCTAACACCGTTATCACGCAAATGATACACAACAACTGCACAAGGAGAAATATATACATGGCGGGTATTGGAAGATGCCTGACCCCTTTCAGCAAGTGTGAAAAAACGTCTCATTTTAAGCGATTTCAAACAGGTACCTGAAGTTTCCGACAGTGAAAAGACAACACAATGCCTGTGTATTACCCTCTACTTTCCATTAAGTGGCAGATGGATTTTCCATATTGACAATTTGAATAAGAAAGTGCCATTTGTAACAGAATATATCGGACGTTAAAGAACGTAATAATATTTCAACGGCCTAATATGTTTTTGATAGTGTTAGGAAAATGTGTAAAACAGTCAGTTATATATATTTTAAACAAAAACGAAGATTTTATAACTTTTAAGAAATAGTGTTACCAATAGGTTCACCCTTCCTTAATGATGCCGAGTACATATATATAATTTTAAAGTCAAGAGTATACTTTCACATCAAAGACATTATTTAACATTATAGTCAACAAACATTATTTAACATTATAGTCAACAAAACATGACTTTCAGTTTACAATAATTACAATAACAAAAGTACGTCTGCGATGGTAAACAAACACGGCTGACCATTTGACACCTGTCAGAGCAAATGACCTCCTCAAAGTGGACCGAGGTCTGACAGGAAGTTATTCGTATAATGCAACCTCTAAAAGGTTTTCGTTGTTATAACTGCACATGGTCAGTCAGAAGTTCCAGGATTCCGATTGAGCGTTACTCCAGAAACTCTTTCCCCTTTCACCAAGATAAACACCACGAGATCCGTGTTTGCCAGCATCCGCGCAAGAAGACTTGCTGTTTGACGACTGTTATGAGACCCTGATCCAAACTCAGAATGCAGAAAGGTTTGCCTCTGTGAACGATGATGACATCAATAATGACAACTACCAATGAAAATGATAACACAATGAAAAGAGTATTTTTGACCAAAATATAGTTCACAGCTTTATACAGGACAGTTTAAATGACACAAGATAGGTGGAACAAATTAGCCCCTGTAAACTTAACATTATTCCTTGCATTATCCTACTTTCAGGCACGCAAATCAGATAGTTCTGAGGGTAGCAGAGAACGTTACCTCAAGAAACATGATTACAATCCCTTTGCCCCTTGCTAAACTCAGGGACATTTTGAAATCGAAACAATTGACAGTTTTCCGTGTTTTTCCTTCTCTATATTAAATGCATGTCTATGCACGACGGCGGCTTGAAAACAAGCCTTGATTAAAATAATCTGTTGATCCTTTCTTGTAACCTTGTTTTCTTTTATCAGTGCTACGTCATGTGAATCAAACATAATACAAACTGCAACAATGTAATATTTTAACGGTTTTAAAAGAACTATATATTTGCGACATTTTAACTGAGTAAAGGGGATGGAGTGAAGGGACAGTGTTTTTTCACACACGAATTGATACAGAAGAAACTTTAGTTTACTCCATTTGTTTCAGCATGAGGATGCGTCAGTGGAGATGCTGAAACACTTACTTGAAGTCAACAAGGACGTGAAGAAAGCCTTCGATAAGTTTGACCAAGATGGGTCTCGTCTCGCACTGATCTCGGACATCATTTTAGGTGGAAAACAAAGAGTTAAGTAATGTGCCTAGGAGCTTACAATAGGAATATTATTTTGTATATCCTTTGTATGCATTTGTCTATCTGACAAATGAAGACAATAAAATAGAAAGAGGATATGAGACGAACCAGTCTGACATTGTTTAAATACAAGGGATCTTCTGCTTGACCTAGTGGCTACCGCAGCTGCCCGGAAAGCGGAATGTTTTTTTTTCATTCCCGGATTTTTACTTCTTGTCACTCTGCCTTTATCGCGGCATCAAGGTGATAAAAGTAGGATTGCTCAGTGAGTTTTTAGTGGGCTAGTGCTACCTTGAATCTTGAACTGGACCTAAAACCCACCCTACAATTTACCTTGAAAAACATGATTGCTGACACGTTTGTCGCTTTATCCTTTTAAACCATGATTTACAATGCTGTTTTGCAGGAGCCCTTAGAATGTGTGCTACAAAAAGGAAAAAAAATATTCCTTTATGAAGTAAGTATTTACTACCACGTGTGTACAGCAAAACATGGAATACTTTTTGGTACTTAGATATGCAGTTGAAAATATTTAATTACAATTATTAAAAATACCATTTCTCTGCTACATTTGCCACAAGTCGTTCAATGCAAGGGTGTTTCACCTTTAGAACTTTCGTGTATTTTGTTACACATTTTATCTCCAGATTGTCGCCAACGACAAAACAGGCGTTGACGTCGACAAGTGGGATTACTTCGCTCGCGACTGTCATATGCTGGGCATGAAAGACAACTTTGACCACGACAGGTACATGGAGATGGCTCGTATCATCGACGTCGACGAGGAAGGTCCACGGATCTGTACACGGGACAAAGTAATCCATCATTCTATTTATTTCTGTAGTTTTTGTTGTGAAGCTCAGGACACCTCTAAAAAGAGAATCTTTGGAGTGATTACACTAAATGCTTGTCTTGTTGAGATGAAATGTGAGATAAGAGGCAATAAACTGTAGTTACCTCCCTTCCCTTGTAGGGAATCTCTAGTCAACAAAGGTTGACTAGTTGTTCTTGCCTGGTGCTACGTCTGCCAACATGGCCGAAAAGGCTGATGAAGAAAATTGCAAGTTAAATGACATACTTGAAGCTTTGAAGGAGGTGAAAGTGCAGGATAGTGAAACAAAACATAGGTTACATCGTTTAGACCATGATATTTGTTCTCTTAGAAGCTTGTCTAATATCTTTGAGGGCGTTGATAGTCAGTGTGAACCGTATGGTTCAGTGAACTTTGACCCTATTGCATGTGTGCGAGATAGACATAGCAACAGTGCTAGCCAAACTGATTTTATATCAAGTGATAATTTAAATCCCGAGGGGATTCAGCACGATAGTGCCCAGGGTGCCGCTTTTATACGAAGTGCAGCTTTGGATATCAAGGGAGAGTATCAAACGATACGTGACACTGTAACCAATGTAACACTCCCTGCAGATTTGAAAGTGCCTGATTCTAAGCAGTGTATTAAACGTTAGGATCAACAACATGCGGCAGTTGTAGCAAGGTCTGCGCGTTAAAGTGAAACAACATTGAAACTTTGCAAGAAACATTACACAGGACGCACTGATTAAAGTATATCAAGTTCAACTCGCACAGATAGGTTATCTGCAGGAGGAACAGTCATCTCTGATAGTTCAAGGCCAGTTTGACCGCAATACTGCAACGATATACAGGACACTGCAGAGAAATACATGTTCATTTAATGAAGAATCCTTGAATTACCTACGTAACGCTACCACCATTGCGGCTGCATTCAGGCCACCACGTAACAGCGGGTTCAACCGAGGGCGTGGTTATGTCCGAGGTTACCAAGGTTCAGGGGTAGATTCTCCTACGGTCGCCGGGACGGACCACTTTTTCACAATAACACTCCTCGAGTGGATCAGGAACAGTAATGGCTCTGCTAAGGTGTTACCAGAAATGGTAAAATATTGGATGTCAAGAGTTAGAGTTTATATTATCATGGATTCAGATTTGTGTTAACTTACCTTTCCATTGCTCTCCTTCTGTAAGTGTTCAAGACAATCATCGTTTGACAGGTTCTCAGATTAACTTTGTTAGTGAAGAGATTTCAAGACTGACAATTTCTGGAGCTATCCAAAGAGTGTCTGATCAACCATATTGTGGGCATCCTCTAGGTGTCGCTTAATTGTTGATTTGCGATATGTGAACTCTTTTTGTTCAGTACCAAAATTTAGATATGAAGATGTCTCTATGTTGTCACACGTTATTGAGTCAAATGACTATTTGGTAACACTGGATCTAAAGGATGGATTTCACCATGTACCAGTTCACAGTGATGATAGAAAATACTTAGGGTTTTATTGGCATGGATGGTATTATCAGTGGAATGTGCTCCCTTTTGGGTTATCAGTAAGCCCTTACTTTTTTTGTAAGATTCTCAGACCAGTTGCTCGACATCTTCGCGGGTAAGGAATAAGACTCCTGGTGTACAAGGACGATATTATCATTGCAGCTAAGAAGGAGCTTATTTCAGACCATGCTAACAAGGTAATTTGTGTGTTAGAGTCTCTTGGATGTGTGATAAATTATGACAAATCTTCTCTCACTCCTAGTACTAAAAAGGAATTTCTTGGATTCTTGGTGGATTCTGTTGGACCTAAGGGTGTGCCTGTTCTAAAGGTTCCGAATCACAAAGTGAGAAAGTTGAAGAAGGACATACAGAGAGCGATATCTGTCCCTTACATTAGAGCTAGACATTTCATGCGTCTTGCAGGCCAGTGTATCTCTGTCTGTAGAACAATATTTCCAGGAAAACTTAGTGGAGTGGAGGTTACACCAAGGTGTCTTCAACATGCTGGAATACATGTGGGGACCACACACGGTAGACAGATTTGAGTCGTATCAAACCATACAGCTGCAAGTATACAACAGTCAAATATGCGATCCGTACACTCAAGGAGTTGACGGGATGGCTCAGAACGATTGGCATATACACAACAATTTTGTCAACGCTCCGTTCAGATTGATACCAGACATTCTGCAAAAAGTTGTGTCCACAAAGTCCTTTGCCACAGTGATAGCGCCATGGTGGCCAGCCCAGACGTGGTTTCCTCGTCTTCAGAAACTATCAGTCTGCTCACCTCTAAAGCTTCCTCGTCAACGACGTTGTTGCCTTCCCCTATTAGCAAAACCGGAACTACTGGCAAATCTAAAATGGAGACTGTTCGCTTGGAGGATCTATGGAGGGAACGGTTAATTCGTTGTGAGTGGACAACTCGAGCTGCTGATCAGATATCACATGCTTTGGCGCCGAGTACTCTACATTTGTGCAATTCCTTTGTTAACAAGTTTGGAGATTTTTGTTGAAGAGAAATGTGTCTTTCCACCTACTAGTACATCTGTGTTAGCAACTTTTCTGTGTAAGGTTGCGGATTCATCACCTAAACCTAGATCTCAGTTGAAAAGTGCATGTGCGGCTATATCTTGTCTGTATGAAACTATGAATCTTCAGAACATTGTGCACACTGCTGTTGTATCTAGCTTAGTACAGGCTCTAGTGAAGTCTGGTTCAGAAGTTCCTATGCAGCGTTCCACGGTGATGCCAGTATCTGCATTGAATGATTTGTTTCAGACATGTTGTCAATAAAACAGCTCCGCCAAAAGGCAGTGACTCTATTAGCTCTGGTGGCTATGTTGCGCCCATCAGATATCGCCCCGAAATCGGTACATTATGATGCCCAGAGCCGCTTGACTAAGAGCATCGAGTTTAACACGAATCAATTGTCTTTTCATGCAGAAGGTTCTCTGACTATAAACTTCTTTGGCATAAAAAATGACACTTCACGTACTGGTTTTGAGGTTTTGGTTCAGCCTGCAGATTGCAGCAAGTTGGACCCTGTAAAGACCTTGAAGGATTACATAGAGCGGACAGACTCTCTCCGAACGGACATTAGTAGTGTTTTCTTGTCTCTGTATGCACCCCACAGAGGCGTGCAAGCATCTACTGTTTCAGAGATTCTAGAACAATCCATAAAAAATGCCGGACTCTCTTCCAAGCGGTTTTCTGCAAGATCGTTCCGTCCAACACTGGAGCAACACTGGCGATTCAGAATTGTCAGCATCCTAAAATTGTCATGAAGGTCGGGAGATGGAAAACAGAGTCTGTTTTCTATGGACATTATGTACACAGCAGAACACCAAAAGATTTTGGTCTTTTCAGAGTCGGTACTCAATGGTTGATATCAGTGTTTCTACCATAATTACAGAATTTCAGCATTTTCTTGTTTCCATGGGAGTAAGCCTAATATTTTCTTTAAGAGTTTAAAGATACTGGTGTACTATTGTGTTTTTTGAGAGTTTAAAAAATGTTTGACATGTTAATATGGCAAATTGCTTTATCATTTCTCTTACTCACTATAGAGGCATATAGTTGAAACAATAAAGACATTGTTGTTTTAATTTTCAATTGTAATCTGTCAATGACGTAAGTTTACCAAAACAAGCACCCCTCATATACCTCTCTCAGGTAGAAGGTCTCTAGTAAGATCCTTGTTCCCCTTCCAGATCGATGTATACTATTCTGTTGACTAGGACAAGATGGAAGCTTCTAGAACTCTGTATAAATATGACACACAAATGCCCCTTACTGCATCCACAGGTACAGTGTATAACAGCTAAAACATTGTTGCAGAACGCGTAAGACTGACCCCATTCTATTCCGTCTTTGCGACGGTTAACAAGATTTTAAAAAATCAGATGACCCAAAAACGAAATGCTTCACAGTACGATAAATCATGACAAAGCTGAATGCTTCGGAGTACCCCACCCGACTGCTTTGCCGATCGCTACGCTACCATCGCATGCAATCGATTAACACTTAATGTATTTAACCATGTGCAGATTTACAAGCCTCGACCAATCCGTTTTTGTGCGGACCTATCGTCATCTATTTGTGACTAAGACGTTCAACGTATCAAATCAACTTACCAACTCAAATATTGAAACTTGTCTTCATTCTTTCAGTATTATGTTTCAGTAAATATGTGTCTTACATTTATTAGTAGAGTATTTGCATTGGCACAGCGGCTTCCATCCGATTTTAAAGACGCAGTCAGGTGATCAGATCCATGTTCTGTTTGTGTTGACTGCAGGAGGCCAATAACCTGTACGACATGTTTCACACTCGGATGATGTTACACCGACGGGCCTACCAGCATAAAGTTACCATTGGAGTGGAGCTCATGTATGTACAGTTACACATTCTACGGTATTGAAATAACTATATGAAAAAACGAGGATATGTGCGAAACGTAGGAGACTGCATCGAATACACTTTAGATGATATCATCTGTGCATTTACCTCGTATTCTCAAAAGCAATGCAGGAGAACCTTATAAATCGGAACTGTATTTTGAATATATTGATTGTGTATTTTCAGGATTGTCGATGCACTCCAAAACGTTGACGAGATCGTACGGATATCGGGAAGGGATCGGTAAATAAAGTTTCACACTCACTTTGTTAAACCAGATTATAAAAAGAACTAGCATCCAGTAAAATTTTCAGATTCATTTCGGTGACAACTCGGACAAATGGAAACACAGGTTACCTCATTTGATTGAATAAGAGCGCCAAACTGTGTCCTGATCAATATGAAATCTCGGCTAAAGAAAAAGCTGTAAACTTCCGACTCTGTTATGGCCATATTCTCCTGATTCATAGTAATGACATCAGGTATTCCCGAAAATGAGAGTGTATCTTGCCCCATCGGCAACTAAGTTGTGCACCTGAAAAACAAGAACGCGGGGAAGTCGAAAATCTTATTTAAATGTTAGAATGTTCTCAGAATATCTACCATAAAACGTTTGGATACTTTTTGGCTGATGCCTATGATTAGAGAAACAAAAACGTAATTGAGAGTCCTCTTTAGAAACAGCATGCTCGATTTGTCAGATTGAGTACATACAACATACAAGGTAAATATAAACCGTCAATGCCAGAGAATATGCATTTGGATTATCCACGGATAGAAGGTGTATAAAAGCTGATACAGGATGCATTGGGCGTACAAGCCAGTAGGAGGATAAATGGCAATCAGGTGTTTGCCAACAGGAAAAGCATTATCCTGCTCTGCAGGCAGAAACCTCAAACAACACTAAAGGGAATTAGAATTTACGTAGAAAATGATTAAATAGTGTTACAGTTTAGAAATTACCATGACAAAAGGTCTTGTGAGTCCGGCAAACCGGCAAAATAAAACACAGACAAGTTTATAAAATCCAATTATATGTTGAATAAAAACAAGGCTACAATGAATGACAGTACAGATTCTATACGATTGAGTAACAAATCTAAAATATTGGATCACAAACCTAAAATAACTAAAATAACCTAATGTAAATGCATCTGACGCGTGAAGAAAGTTGGGATCATGTTTAAAGTAAGTGTTTTCTATTCGCCGTCCAATTTTATGTATTAGTATAACTTCACTCATCTGCATCCTTCTTGTTCTAAGTGTCAAAAATTAATATTGACCATTGTATTTGCCCCTAGTATGGCTAGCATTATCCCAAATACCTTTGTAAGTGTATGTAAGTGTATGAGAGAGAGAAACACATTTACATAAAAATAAACAATGCTGCGTGAATAAAATGCACTGGCCACCATATAAAGGTTATGAGAGAATTTTAAAACATAGTAGGCCTTAATAAAATAATTTTAAAAAATGTAATAAATGTGAACCCTTGCCAGGGAATAATTGGCTTATGGCAGTCGAAAACATTCTCTAATTGGTACCTCTAATTTAAACCTGCCACAAGGGATCGGCCGTTTGGGCTTGTGCTCATTTACGGTATTATGCAATTGGTGTATTCACGAAATATCATGAACTTGTTGAAGGTCACATGCAACAACAAAATCAAACATAATTAAACCACAATTATCACTTATTCATGACATATAATATACATTGCTGGTTATGAAAAAACATATAAACAAAATTATAAGCGTACAATCGCAAATCAAAAATGCAATATTGTGTACTTGGGTTTACTTCCCAAGAAACGAAGCAGCCGGGATACCGAACCGAGTCAAAATGGGTGGGTGTGCACTCACGGCTCATTGTGTGTGTATATATAGAGATGTTGGGTTTTGTAAATACATGCTCATTTTTTGTGTATAACATTTTGCAATCAACAGACATCATAACATGTCATGTGTTCAAGTATCACACCTGCCTGTCTGTGTAATTACATAATGTGACAGAGACCGAACTCGGGCCATAAATCAATGCATTTTGTTTATGGCGTATAGCCTGATTGGTGTTAAGTTCAAATTGCATGTGGTCAGTGATCGCAGTTGTGTATTGAATATTGTCATTAGCAGACAGGCAGGCACACACAGGTGTCAATAAAACAAGACATTGAGTTTGTCTGTGACAACGACATATCTATATCACAGTTAGAAATTCTGTCAACGCTAAATAATGACGTTGCTTTTAAGTATCGAAGTGAGAAAGTGACTCGGTAAGAAGAACGTGTGGTGAAATAGACAAATGAAATTATATAAACAGTTAATTTACTGTCATAACATATAAAAAGCTCGCGCCTGTGAGATATCAACAAAACATTAGAAAAATAGCTCACACCAAAGCCTTCACCGAGTATTCCCCGGACAACCCGCTTCCAAGTTGCTCGAACCTATTTCACTGCGCACGTGCTATGAGCGCAGCCCAGCTGTTGGAACCACCTGAATTCCCCCCAAACGCCGGGGGAAAATTAGTCAATCGTTTCAACTACTATTTCGCGCGGTTTTTTTCATCGCGTTATTTTTCAACTTTATAAGTTGAATTTGCATTTTTGACGATTTGTTTCGGTAAGTCCACACCGAAAGGTATCAGAATCTGCAAAGTTTTGTTTTACGCTACATGTAACCTTTAATAGATAATTGGCTAGGTTGTCCACACATGGGTGAACTGAAGCAAAAATTAACCAAAATGAATTCGGTCTTATTCATTTTAAGATCACGTTGAATAATTTCTAGAGAAATCAGTACACAAGTTCTTAGCACAGATGATTCCAGAGACAAATAGTTTATGAGATTTTAGTTTATGAAAAGCAATAAATTCTGAAATAAGCAATCCAATCTGATCTCTAATGCTCAGGAATTACCACTTATATGACAATAGTTTGAGAAGGTTTCGGATCAGGATGCCGACCTTTGGATTGTTATAGACAGCCAGACAGTAACGGATTATCCTCTTTTAACAACACGTAGGCCCACCATTTCTATATAATCCAATGTTTATTGCAAATTTATCAAACCGGACGGAACGTCTAGAACGTCGACCTTTTTTCTTCACTCATCCGTGGGGTTTGGACCAAAGGTCGACGTCCTGAGCCCTAACCGGTTGAGAAGAGTTTTCAAATCTGCGGTCGCCTACTGTTTCATGCGATTCTTAAAAGGATTGAACCGACATTTGCATGTTCATCTTTTGATGTATGTATTAATATAAAATATGTCTCTGTGTTGACGAAGGAACTTTTATTTGTTTAGAAAATTTTAAAATCTGCATTGAGAACTCAACGCACATCGTAATCCAATCCTTGTTGGATCGGCATTCTTAAAGTACGACTTTACAGATGCCGATTTCTGGTTGATGCATAGAGGGGCGTTTCCATGTTTATTCTCACACCGTTATCAAGATAAAAATTTCTACCACCAGGTGAATAGAAGTATATATGCATAGTGACAAGCAGCAAATTAACAAGATGGTAATTTAGAAAATGGTACATCGTTGGATGGAGCCAGCAAGAAAGTAAGATCAACAGGCTTACTGTGTAAACGGGCTGATTGGATGCTAATTAAACAGCTAATTGACAGATTCTATCTGTAAATCAACTCCATTGTCCAAGTGATGGAATCAATAGACATTCAACCAGCTTGTTTATCCTGAACGATGTACATCGAATTGCCGCTCTATGCAATAACCAGGGAGTTGGTATCACGTAAGTTGTATGTTTCGTTATGTATCCCCATACTGTTTACTGCAGTATAAGTGAGATCTGCCTCAATTTGCGAATGACCAATCGTTTGAAGTTGATTTAAGTTCTACTTTAGTAAACTGCTACCTAACAAATTGATCTCAGATTAGAACATCTCATTCCAAATTCGTGAAATCCTATTTCCAGTACTAAGAAATACTGAACTTTTACATATTGCATATAGATCTACCGGTACCCGTTTGACGTGTCTAATCATGGGTTAATTCACATTATGATTATACATTTTTTACCATTACATGTGTCATTAAAGCGTCATTTATGTCATTGTAATGTTCTCTGATCCATTTCATCATACAGCATTGTTTCATTCAATGTTCTGAAGCTCATATGATTACATGAAAATGTTACTATTAGTTTCGTTCTTCAAACCAATATAGGCATTATGGTTAGAAGCGGCCTGATTTTTAATACCTATCAATTTAGATGTTATATATGAGCGTATGCACAAACACCTACACAAAACATACACAATTTGTGAATTCTGTTCCGACGAATAAAAGAAATATCTAATTTAATAAGAAACACTATATAAATTATCTTTATAGAAGAGAAGCTTTGCATTATTCGTTCATTTTTTAATAATTTTATCTGCATGAAAGAAGAGATTATCAAAAATGTGAAATAAACTTTCGTATACTACCATTTCACAAACATTGCGATATTGACCATGGAACAATGTTATGTTCAGTCAGATTTCAATGTCATAATATGCGAGGTTCCTCATTCACACTTACCATACAAACTGACAGCTGAACACAAAACAATATACAATTAACCAAATGCAATACAATACAACTTTCACCGCCTGTGCATACCACACTGTTGACGAATCTCTCAGGTGTATCAGAGCGATGATCACATCGCGACATGTTGAACAACCCTACAGCTCAGCAGATTTAAATAACTTACTTCCATAAGAAAAGCAAGATTTAGGGATATCAACTTCTTTCTTGTGAATAAGGTTATAGCCCGGGAAAGCCACATTTAAGAAAAACAGAGTTGAAAATGGTGTGGATCTCCCGGCAATGCGCTATTAGCTAATCCGTGTTACCGTAAATAATGTGAAAAGTTCATTATGTAAAATCTAGAAAACCAGTTGAATCGTTCGTGGAGAAAAGTCCTGATCACGCAAACTAGCTGCCTCACGTAGGTACTCAAACACCTTCCACGAATTATTCATGATTGTAGAACCAATTATTTCTTTGAAGCATTTGTTCCATTGAATGTTTTATCCTTTTCTGATAACTGTTTGAGATAAGAGCTATTGTTGCCCCAGTTATTATGCTGACATTTATACTAAAAACTACAAAAACAAACAAAAATATTTTTTTAGAAGAATGATCATTTATTGCACAAATCTACTTATAAACTACTTTATGTGACGTCTAACTCTTTCCATTTCATAGCTGTTTTTAAGCAAAGTGTATGTCTA